GCTTAGTTTAAGCCCCTTAACTATTCACGCAAAGTTACAATTTTCCCGAAAAATCAGCTATTTGCATGCTTAATTAATGCATTTGCCTAATTTGCATATGTCAGCAATATGCAAATTAGGTAAAGGCATTAATTAAGCATGCGAAAGGCTGACGTTTTAGAACAAAATGAATAGTTAAAGGGCTTAAACTAAACCAAATTGTCTGAAATTTTGTACAGTAATTAAAAACCCGACAAATTTTCAATATATCAACTCAAACTATGATTACAGCTTTTAAATTTTGTGCGCGAGCCATTTTTAGTTTGTTGGAAAAGACACACCCCCCTGGTTCACAAAATTTGAGTTCGAAATTTTTTTTTCATTATTTTACATTATAAGTACCCAAAGAAGCTATATATATAAAAAACAGATACAAATAGGTGTTTTGCGAAATTGAGAGCAATTTCAAATCTGTTCAGTTTTTTTTGATACACCCTGTATATATTTCATTAAACGTTTCATTTAAAATTGAATAAAAGTGGTTTGCAACTTTGCATCATTGTTTAGTGCTCATGTAATCTACAGTTTCGAGTGTATGGGTTGTGAGCACAATATTGATGATTTGTACAAATATTTGAGCTCTCTTAAGACTAAGTAGTGTTTACACTACCAGCCTTGGCCTACATTTTGACAGTGTAAACAGACTTTGCCCTAGCCTTGGCCTGACTTAGGCCAGGAAATCTGGGCCCACTACAACCGGTGGCCTAGACTTAGGCCAGGAAATCTGGGCCCACTACAACCGGTGGCCTAGGCCTGGCCTAGGCCTGTGGAAATGTAAACACTTTCGCCCTGGCCTGGGCCTTATTTTCATGGCAACGTATGTCCACAGTGAGAGATTAGCGGACAACCAGCGGACAACGTCACAACACATAAAAATACACAAAATTAATTACAAAATTCTAGACCAAAGTGAGCCAGTCTCAAAAAAATAGTGTAATGGTGTAAACGCGCCAGGTATAGTGTAAACACGACTCTAGTTATTCTGTTTCACACAACGCAACTTACATACCACTGACCACCACCATGTCTTCACATGTTCCCTTTGCTTTCCCATCTTTCCTTTTGTTCAAATCCCCAAAGTAGTTTCTTTTTCTTTTTTGAATTTTTCCATTTCTCTTCCACCTCTTTCTGTTTCTTGTATTCTCTCATTTCGATGGCGTCTGCAATCTTTACACCTAGTTCTTGTTGAGATATTTCATCACTCAGTTTCTCCGCTTTCGAAAAATTCCCTTCTTTTATAGCCGCATCAAGCTGTTCCTCTAGTTTAGACTACGAGATGAAAGTATACACTGTAAATTTCAACAGTTCAGCCTTTTGAATGATGGTTTTTAAGGCGCATTACAACCCTTTTAATTGACAAAACTAACCAAGGAAAATCAATTAAAGCATAATTTCAAGATCAGTGATTTCAATGTTTTCAACATTTTTTAACACTTTTAATGTTAAAAACATTGGGTTCACTGATCTTGAATTATGCTTATTTGATTTTCCTAGTTAGTAATTGATTTTCCTAGTTAGTTTTTTCAATAGACAATTCCCATTAGGGACCGGTCATTATTTATGGTGGGGGGTGGCACCGAAGAGAAATGTTTTTCCTGGGAAAAATTTTGCTGACCCAACCATTAAAAAGCAAAAAATTTGATTACCCAACCTCAAATATCAATTAAAAAATAAATACCCACCCCTGGCCAAAACCTTTACAAAAGAATACCATTCAGTTGCCACACATGTCCTTTACCACTTCTGTGACACAAGTTTGATAACTAAACTTTCATGTTGTATGTACATGTACTTTCTTTGGAGGCACAATTTGTCTCCCAACAAATCGGAAACCAGAGTAGCGAGCGAAACATGATTGATATACATGGTTGCAGTGAACGAATATTTAAGTGAGTCATGCTTTGGAAATGACAATACCTTTTTATTACCCAACCCTTGAGTTGTTTTGTTTTTCATTTACCCAACCTTTTAGTTACTCAAAATTTAGTTTACCCAACCCTTTTCTCTTCGGTGCCACCCCCCGCCATAAATAATGACCGGTCCCTAATTTTAAAACTAGGCAAGGAGTGCGATGGCACTGTAGTCCATATTTATACTATTTTAGAATGTTAGGGTTGGTAATCCAAGTGAGAATATATACATTTTAAGACCTAACCAGGAACGACTGCGAAAAATGCAGCACAAGGTCCTCTGGTAGGAATTGAACCTACGGCCCTGCGATTCCGGTAGAGCGCTGCACCGGAATCGCAGGGCCGTAGGTTCAATTCCTACCAGAGGACCTTGTGCTGCATTTTTCGCAGTCGTTCCTGGTTAGGTCTTAAAATGTATATATTCTCACTTGGATTACAAACCCTAACATTCTAAATTAATTCCACCAAGTGAAGTGCAAGAATCCATCATTGAAGTCCATATTTATACTAGTTTCATATTATTCTCACAGTGCAGTAACGAAAAATTCGTTGTCTCGCATCTTCGGGGCTCTAGACCGTCGAGTCAACGGGGATTGGTAGCGAGTCTTATCCAATTTAAGTGCCAATCTCGTACCCAGAGCCCACAGGGCGAAAATATTTTTATCTATCTGGGAACCAACTAAAAGTACGTAGAATTTTCTGGGAGTATATTAGTCATCAAGCCAATACTAGATTCCCCTTATTACATTTTCGTAGCGCCTTGCATTGTGGTTATAGTGGTATAGCTGATATTCAAGATGGCTTATTTATTGTCCTGACCCGTGCAAGATCTTTTACAAAAAGGTAGGGTCAGGTGCGCGATAGCCAAGAGCAAAATATTCGCGAAAACATTCAATATTTTCATTCGAGGCCACTATCTTTATCAGTGATACCACTATAACCACAATGCAAAGCGCTACGAAAACGTAATAAGGGGAATCGTCAATTAAATGTAAAAGGAGAGCGCAAAAGAATAACAATGCGACGATCCTTGTGTTTTGTGGTAACAGACTAGGGTTGCTGAACAGACCAAATATGAAACGTATATAGTAGTTCAATCCATTGAACTATAAGTAAACTGGAAGGCTAACTGCTATGATGAAGGCCTATGATTTGCTGAAGCCAAAATAGTTTTTCTGAGTTATGTTGGTCCTAAACGTTGGGCTATATAGCAAACTGTAGCTATTGAAAATTTCTATTCGGTGTGGAAATTTCAAGACTTCAACAGAAACTTCATAGACAGCACAACGTTCTGTGTTGAGTATTTCTGCTCATAACTCAGAAAAACTAAAATGCACTGGCTTCAATCCCCCACCCCCCAACCCTGAGTTAGCCTTCCAGTTTACTTTACAGTTCAATGGTTTAATCTCCAAAATTTTCTGTGAGATAACAAATTGTCCAAAATGTTCTGGGAACCTAGTTCCACAGTTCCACCACATTTTCTCCCTCTGCCAGAGGCATTGATTTAAGTGCACGAAATATTTTCGTGACGACTTAAGTCTTAACGCTTGGCTTAACTGCCTTCCCTATCGACAGGAAACGTAAAACAATGCACCCACGATGACTCTTAAATAAAAACCACTCAAATATTGAGTAAAACCACTCAAAACCACTCATTATTTTACTTAAAATACTCAGTGATTTTTTGCAGTGATATCTTAAAAACATTTCAGTTAGTCTATACAGTGCTGTATATTGTTCAAGCAGCAAACCTGTCTTGAAGTTATTGCGTGAGCTTTAAGTGCATACGAAACGAAAATTGTTATTGTCTTATTTAAAAGAACTATATAAACTACAGAGCAACTTCTTTTATATTTTTTCGTTCGTTGCTTCGTTTTCAAGTTATTTGAGTTAGTTTGATATACGTGTCATGGTTCCTACGTCACAAAATGCATAATAAGTTGTCAGAATAATTTGTATATCCTTGCTATTATCAAGCAAAATCGCACTTTAGAAGTATAGTGTGCATTTGTGTTGTTCTACGACATCAAATACCTGGATTCTCTAGTAATTTCATTACATATTAGCAAGAATATATACTGTAACATTTTCAGCAAACTCATTATGGATATTTGTGACGTAGAAACCTTGATACGTATATCAAACTAACTGAAATGTCTCGAAAACGAAGCAACGGAACGAAAAATTGCAAAAGACGTTACTCTATAGTTTTTATAGTTCTCTGAAATAAGGCAATTATAAAAGTTTGCGTTTCATATGCACTTTAATATGAGTTATGATGTTTATTAATTTTGCCCTAACCAAAAGAATGTTAGGCTTTCATGGCTAAAATGTTGTTCTTACTATAGTGGGCCCAGAGTTGACACGCATTACAGAACATTTAGGATAAAAAGGGCAACAAAAGGCCAAAAGAAATGTTAAGAAATATCAAAGAATATCAAAGGGCAATGAAGGTCAAATAAGTATAAAAAAGTCAAAGAGGAGTAAGGAATGTAAACAGTAGCATAGCCAGTCCGACGATTTAGTACGTCCCGCTATGCAAATGTTTTCGTGTTCATTGACTGTGAAAACAATCAATTTCTAAAGAAATGAATAATGATAATAATTTTGAATTTGCATAGTGGGACTAAATTGTGAGCTGGCTACGCCACTGAATGTAAATATGGGTAAGAAAATTCAAAGAAGGTCAAAGAAGATATGTACTTAAAAATGTCAAAACAAAGATTAAGAATAGCAAGGGAGCAGAAACTGTAGCATTTCATATTGCCTAAATTTATAGACATTAGACAGTTTAACTTTAACCCATTAAGTTGCATTGCACCCAAACGCACCCTATTTTATTATTTTACTCTGTCTAACACCAGACAATTTTACTCATCAAAGGGACTTCACTGAGCTTAGTGGCCGGGTTAATCAGACTATCTGCCAATGTGTCCAGTTAAACATTAAGTTGTCTAACTCTGTCTAACGCCAGATGATTTAACTTTTGAAGGGCAGAATGCTTAAGGTAAGCGCTTAATGGGCTCTGAAACCACATTATTTTATATCTGATCGTCATCTATGAATAGTGTACTTATTTGTGCTGCAAACTACTTAACTACTGTTGGACATCAGTGAAAAAACCTGAATCCATCGAGGAAAAAGTAAATACTCGCATTGATACCGCGTAAGAAGCGACTGCTGCTTGTCTTGCGCAACCAATAGCATGCATCATGCATAGTACGAAATGTTCATGTGAAGTGTTAATTTTTTTATTTCAGATGCTGGAGCAAATATTGGCACTGGTGACTCGTAGGTGGCTGTATTCCACTTTAAAATGTGAAATTTCCCTTAAATTTCAAATTTTCACAAATTTGCGGGAGTTGGAAATTTTCTGCCGGAGCCAGAAATTTTTTTCCCGGAGCCGGAGGTGAAAAACCTGGACTTTGCACAGCACTAACTATGCAAGGACTTAATTGCTTTGAGAGCATCTAAAACTACTGTAATTTTTATTGAGACAATAAAAATACATAATTTATACCTTTGGTTTTTCTTTTGCTATACTATCTTGTGTAAGATGAACATTTGCATCAATATTGGAACAAAGTTCTTTCCAAGATTTTCTGTTGTCCTTCAACATTTCACTACAAGAGCAATAAATTTAACTTAGAATGTGAATGAAATGTGGAAATAACAAAATGTGACCAATGCAGCTGATGAAATTTTTAGCTTCAATTTTGTTCCAGACTCCTCCAATACCCTTTAGATTTCTTTTCTGTCCATGAACTACAGGCATCATCTGTAAATATAGGAAAATAAAGAAATGTTTGAAACTCAGTAATACTGAAACAAAGCATTGAAGCTAACCAGGTAAAGCAGACCACACGCTTGATTAGTTCACCAAAAGGTGGATGTCTGCAAAGACAGTACAGGTAGGTACAAAAACTTATAAAATTATTTTGTCGGGTTAATTCTCCAGACAATTTTCGGTTTTTATCCTGAACCACCGAATACCCTACTCGTCACTGCACATTGAAAAGGGGAGGGGTATTCCTAATCCACACTTGATATTCATGAATTTAACTCAATGAGAATTAACTTATTGATTAAACCACAATGTACCATCAACCTGGAAATTGTCGAGTGTTACCATCCCCATCCCAGTAGCATAACTTCTCGTAGAGATGAGAATATAATCCCTATCTTTGAACAACTGTGCTGAGACTGTGCAAAGTCCTGTCTATGATTTGTATACCCTTTAATGAATGCATAAACTGAAGTACAGCCAAATTTTAATGGTGCCAGGGCTCTGCACCCAAAGTACTCCATCTAGGCCAAGGGAGCCCCTTTTCAGTTAACGGCAGGAGGCCTTTAGCCTAACATTAAACCACCACTACCCTAATCCAGTAATATGTATGACCATGCATATTAAACACTGACCATTATCAACTCTCCATCTACCACGCTTCCGGCCCGTTTTTTCTGGCAATGGCTTACATGCTTCCTGCCGCCTTTCTTTCAATTGTTGAAATTTCTAAGAAATTCCAAAATGAAAATATTAACACTGTTGGTTTTTTATCCTCACATGCACGCATGTTATAATAAGCAATCTATCAGGACATATGTACTGTATGTACACATCATCATGTGCAAACTGGTAGTTATAATTCCCATTTACTCGGTGGGGTGTGCTTGGATATTTTCTAGAATGACCCAGGTACAACTCAGGTGACGGAGGTCGTCAACACAACTCTTCTGTTGCTGCAAATCTACACAATGGCTCGTTCCACAGACTGGAAAGTTTGGAAATTGCACGGCTGAGATTTCAAAAATATAATAGTAAATACATAGAAAGCATCAAAATTGTGTGCCGTATATCTCAGCCGCGCAATACAAACTTTCCACACTGGTCGTTCCAGAAAAGATCCACACTCCCCCACAAATAGTAAGTGTTTTAGGGCAAATGAGGGGGGGGGGGGTAGGGGGATAAACTTCTAACAACTTGTCACCCACTGGGACCCTTGCCCCTCCCGGCCTCCCCAAGTGTGCATGCTTTTGTTTTATTGAAAATTTGGCAATAACCGGTTATTCCGTTTCATAACACATATTATATTAAAATACATGCATCTAAATAGTGGTTTATTATAGTATACCAGCCATTTTTCCTCCGAGACATGGGCAGGCTTTTCACTTTCAGACTTTTCTGCCAAGGGTCCATTTTCTAACTCTTGCCTGTCCTCTCTAAACTGATTTTCTGCAATGCATTTTCCCTCATTCTGCATGTGACAATCTGAAATACTATCTGGTGGAGCAACTTGCGAGTACATAAGACAGGAAACGTTCGAAAAGCTTCTCAATCTAGTTTAAAATTCTCCATTATTTTCTCCATGGTGCCATGGCCGCGCAATAATCTTTGCACCTAGAGACTGGGTACCACAATATGGAGACCACGTGATAACAGCAGAAATCGTCGTAATTTATGCATTTGTTTCACTTATGATGCATAAAAGCAAAGAGATAAAAGATGAAACGGAAACGCCCTGGGAACGACGTTGATAAAAGATGGCAATTTATTTTACATTTTACATAGCCTCCTCAACAGACAACTCTGTGGCTTCCCAAACGGGCGAAATTTTCGTAAATCTCGGTACAAAATTTCATCAACTATTTCAACTCTATATCCTTTTGCTGTCCCCTATTACCACCCACGTCTTGGCAAAAAAATACGACAAGAAATAATATTGCATTATTCTGCGTTACGAAATTTCGCCGTTTGGAAAGGCACAGAATTGCCTGCGGAGGAGCCAGCCCGGCCCGAGGAGGCCAGAATTTACATATGAAATTATGATCCGTATTTCAGTCAGGCCGCGTTGAGACAAAGTTCAGTGCAGGAGAGAACCCAAATTAACGTACAGGAATTCGTACGCTTTAATAGCTCAAATAGGTTCAAATTTCATGCGTCCTATCCCATGTAAACTTCGTTCAAATTTGAGTTCCGAATTAATGCAGTCTCGCTTGACCAGATCCTGAGTTTGACTGCGCATTCCCGTCCCAAAGCCGTGACAGTTTTATGAAGTGCGAGGATTTTTAAAATTCTTCCACATTTTAAGGTCTGCCTCGCGATCGTTGACAGCATTTAGCCAGTTATTTGCCGCCCATTTTTCTCCTTGTAAGACGTCACATCCGCCATGACTGGACATCTCATCAAGCTTTCCCACCCAGCCTGTGTCGTCATCGATCAGGTGATTATACCAGAACAATGCTGCCCCTTTCTTGGGCAAGTACACGAGATTAGCTTTGTCACAATGACTGCTCAGATTTAGGCGATGTTTTTCATCACGAATGATTTTCTATAAAAACGAAACAACAACTGGTCATTTACTCATTTTGAATCTGAGCTTATGTAGTTAGTGTGAGAGTTATTAGATCAGTGATCAAACTTCTACAACACATTTAGTTTGCAAGACAATTAGATGCAAATTGAAGATTATATACAATTTTGGACCTGACCAGGAGGGATATAATCCTGGACAAAACATCTGCGACACTTTCAGTTTTTTCACCCACTTTTCTAGCATAATCGCAAAACTAACAAAACCCTTCCCCCCCCCCAATGTTGATTCCTAACTCACAAATATTTAAAGTAATGATGATATATTCAGTATTGTATTAGGGGCGGGGGCGGGGGGCGGGATGGGGCATTGCATTAAGTAATATCGTAGTTATTATAGTGAGTAATACGGGAAGAATTTAAGCGAGTGTCGCAGATGGTTATGTCCAGGATTGCCCGAAAATCTCGATATTTACCCATATCATATGAAGGCATCACCCTCTATATGTACTAGATAAAACATGAGCAGCCGATCTGTATATCTGATATACAAAGTATATCAGATACAGATCGGATGCGAATGTTTTATCTAGTACTTAAAAAATGACCCATCTTGTGAGTTAATTGGCGAAGTAATTTTAAAAATAAACATTGTCTAAGCCAAGAAAATCAAAGCTGAAGTTTATGTAAATCAGGACAAATCTTTATCCGATTTACAAACATTGATTAAACATTCACTTCTTGTGTATTTTCCTCGTGAATTATTAATGAATTTTTTAAGTATATATACAAGAACTTGTGGTTAGAGCTCGACAACTGGACTTTGTAGGTCAGTTGGTTAGAGCGCTGCACTTGGAATCGCAGGGCCGGAGGTTCGATTCCTGCCAGAGGGCCTATATAGTTGCATTATTCGCAACTGGTCCAGGTTAGGTCAAAAATTGTATGTAATCTTCCGCTTAGAAATTTCCATATGCAAAACCCTTCAACTGTTAGTTCTATCGAACGAGATGCCCAAAAATTTCGATAGATGTAAATTGACTGTTTCAATTCACGTGTCATAACAAATCTTTTGTTCGCTACTAGCTAAACAAAAAATCTGTTATCACACTTGAACTGAAATGGCCAATTCGGTGGCGAAGTGTTTAGCGCACTTGCCTTTCACCCCAAAGGTTCAAATCTCAGCGAGAACTTTCTCAATGCGATTCGAATCCAGTCCTCATGTGAAAAGAGTAAACTGAAGTCAACGCTCTGCCGAAGGTAGTGGGTTTTCTCCGGGTCTCCGGTTTCCTGCCACAGGGAAAGTTGGCAGGGTGGGTTCGTCAAAAAGGGCCCACAGTAATTGGCATATGCTGTTGTGGTGCTC